AATGTATTCCGTATTCGATGCGGGATTAGCATTTCCATAGGTTTTCTATTAATTACCGCTAGCGACTTCCTCTGAAAGGGGATTCCTGTGCTCTATCGCTTCGAGGATGAGGAACATTGAGTATATGTTCCTTATTATACGTTTCCAGTAGTCTCCACGATTAATCTCTAAGGAATTATCGTTGTCGATTCTTAGGTATTGGAATAATCCAGTCACTGTGAATAAAGGGAAGAACTCTTGACTAAGTACCAGTGTGGCAATGAGGTAGAGGTGAGATAAGATAGTGAACTGTTGGTTATGGATAAGTTGAACGTACATAGGGTACTTCGGCAGAGGAGGTATGCGACATTTCGATTAATTATTAGTACCACCCCCTAGCTACCCGCTCCCAAGGCCCTCCGTAATAACCCCACCTCCCATCACCGCCTCTCCAGCTCAATCTCCACCCACCTCTCCAACGCCACCTGCTCCTCCTGCACATACCCGCCAAACAACCCCGGACACCCCTCCACCAGCACACACGCCACCAGATGCACACACACCGGCACATCCCCCTCTCCGCGCATCCTACCCCCCCATAACCCGCCTTCTTCTCCCGTCCCCATCACTTCCCCCGCTTCACCCCCGGCCCCCCGCCGCCCAAACGCGGCCCACGCAAATGCCCCACAGCTGCACCACCACGCCGCAGGACGCACCACGTGTACCGTGGCAGAAGAGGACGATGAGACGAAGTATGCGTATTTCTTGCTGTGCGGGGCGGGGCGGCAGCGGTGCACGCGGCGGTGGTCGAGGAGGTCGAGGGCGGGGAGGAGCGTGCTCGGGAGGAGGTGGGAGAGCGTTAGGAGGAGGTCTTGGGATGAGGGTGGGAGGGTGTGGAGGGTGTTGGGGTCGGGAGAGGCGGGGGTGGGGTGCTGCTGGTGCAGGGTGGTGAGGAGGGTGCTGAGGAGGTGGCGGGGGGTGGGGAGTGACATGGTGGTGGGTTGGTGAAGGTGGGAGTGAGGCTTGTTGTGGGATTTGATTATGTAAGTTGGCCTTGGGTTTGAGGTGTGTCTTCTGCTGGTGGTAGGAGTTCCCAGGCGAGAAAACTGTGCATGCAAGAGTAACTGTTTATTAAGGACCACGCAGTAGTATAAACAAGCCAATAACTGCTGATTCCGTGGGGTGCTAGTTGGGAGGAGGCGGCGGTCAGGGTTAGGTGTATGTCGAGGAAATGATCGGAATGCAGGAAACTCCAAGGATGTCAAAGCTTTGCCTTTTCGCAATGGGGTATATCCGTAGTTTCACTGTTCGGGAGAGGAAGATATATGAGGTTGTCTGTAGTGCTGGTGTGTCGTTGACGAGTTTCCGGACGAGTGGTTGCTAGCATGCTGTCAAGACAACATATAGAGGCATTGTCTTTCCTATGTCATGATCAAGGCTCGACCCGAGCAGCTGATTTCTGGTTTATTCAGTCTCGTAGAGGTGCGCAGTAGATTGCTGAATATCAATTCTTTACAGTTTGACCTTGTGACTTAGGGGATGGACTAAGCTAGCGGTATAACCGGGCCGGGTCTCAATCTTTGATCACCCCGTAGTACAAATAAGCTTAGTTTATTTAAACTACACGGCTTAGTTTATATTAAACTACGGTTGTACTTTAAAATAGACTAAGTCTACCATAGAAGTTTAGTTAGTAAGGTGCAGTTAACTTAGGCTCCGTTTGGATGACCCGGTTTATTGGGTTTATTAGGTTTATTGGCAACTTCTATAGAAAGAAAAATAAACTGGATGTTTGGAAAACCACAATAAACAGAATCTGAACTTCTATGGATTGCAATAAACCCGGAAAAAAATAATCAGCTCCAGAGGTGAATCTTGAAAAATAAACCGGAGCAAGTGGCTCACATGCGACAACACCACGCACCCACCCCCATATCACTAACTTCAATATTTGAAGTTTCTCACAACTGTCGCCCTCTTCTATTAATACAAAAGCCAAAAAAAAATTTGTGAATATTTTGGCACTAGGCCATTACAGCAAACAGGTTGGTTTAATTTCACTTTCCATGGATTCGGTTTATTCTCGGTTTATTGAAATTTTCTACAGAAGTGAAAACACAGAAAAATCAACCGGTGTGCGTCCAAACGGAGCCTTACACTATTTTAAACCAAGGCATAGTTTGAATGTAGTTTAACCTTAGTTTATTTAAAACTACACCTTTGTCTAAACCACACTACTTCATAGTTTAAAAGGTGTTTCTCTAGGGTATAAGAATAGATGATTAAGTCGTTTAGCAAGATTTTGGTTGAAATTTTTAACTTTACGCTAGTGAAACCTTATTTCTGATCCTCCAGCTATAAAGCTACCTCTCCCCCCACCTCTTCTCTCCAAAACCTCGGCATCATTCTCGTCATTCTCATCATCGTCATCACTACCACCATCATCACCAGTAACAAGTAGGTAGGTCAGATCCATCATGATCATGCCAATTGGTATAGCCACCACTAATAGCGGGAGCAGCAGCAACGGTACAGCAGCAGCAACGGTACAGCAGCAATGGTGACAGCAGAAATGGTGGCAGCAGCAGCAGTGGACAGAGATATATATACCGTACCCGTAGGAAATAATAATTGAGAAGTAAAACAATAAATAAAGAAAAGGTCATTTAGCTCTAAACGACTAGTCATTTATTAACGGTGGTCATATAAATGACGATTTTAAAAGACCCGGTCATTTAGTCACTATATGACTTCGTCAGGTTTATATAATAAAAGACTTAGTCACTTATCTTATGCTCCTAGAGTTTATCTTAAACTACAATTTAGTTTAAGATAGACGACGTTTTCAGATCAATTGAGAAAACTCGGGCTCTCCTAACTCTAAGAAAACCGCCGATAAAGTCCAACACGTGGTCGGTGCTTGATAAGAATAGCTTAAACCCCACAGAAACTAAAGGCTGGTTCAAAATCTCGGCTTATCCAAATCTCGGCTTGTCCACTGACAGATCCACTGTGGCCCACACACACGCGCCCCTAGTGTTTAGGTTGGGGCATCAAACCGGATAACAAAACCAACGGTTACCTACTGAAAGGGTTGAAGAGAATCAAGAGTGCTATTATTGTGGACCTGAATTCTGATAATATCCTCATGACTTAACCATTGAAGGCTATCATCTAGAAGCTTCAGGGCGGAGGACTGGCCGATGAGAATGAGCTAGCAAATAGCCTCGAGGGCGAGTTCAACGTCGTTTAATGCTCACCCTATAATGGCTATGGGTGCGCTCGATTAGCTATATACTTTGGGTTTAAGGGGATAGAGGAGGCCTTACTTGGGTTTTTAGACAGCTATGAGCACAGCATCATTACATGGGGTGTGGTGTTTGCCTATCTTATGCGAGGGGCGTTTCTGTGGCTAAAGCGCTGACCATATGTCTGTCAGTTAATGTGTAAACGTTGCATATAATAATATGAGCGCTTTAGGCACATAGAATCTAAATGAATTGTTGAATCAACCTTCTTTGACTAGTGGAAGACCGAGTGATGTTTGGTGACACAGCTAATACTAACCTCCCCTCGTGAGGGGCATAAAGTTCGGCGTGGCAAGAGATCATCACCAAGCTGGGACTATATACGTGTATCGTGTCGTGATAGAACATACGTACTTAATTGTTGGGGGTTGATCGAACAGTGAGATCGCGAGGGTTAGGTTTCCGGTTCGTCTTGGCACTGATAGTGTCAAGTACCAATCCTGGGCACGGTACAACATGGGCGAGTGGTCTAATCGGTAGACTGCTCGTCGGGTTAGACACCGAGTGTTTGTGCTCAGGGCGACGGAAGGCTCTGGGTTCAAGCCGGGGGTGGGAGTAGTAACTGGAGTTAATCGCCGGTTGCAGTACTTTTTGTTCTTTTTTGTGTGAAGCGGAGAAAATAAATTGATATATAATACTCGAGGCTGTTTTTATTTTTTTCTCTGGGAGGAGGGGTCTCGCGCCAGACGTTATAAGGTTCTTAGGGACCTTCGGGAATGAAACGGTGAATCCATCCCCTTTCAAGATCACAAGGGCCAATAAAAGATCAGACTCCAACGCGGAAGGTAAAGCATCACCACCAAGGATTCAACAGAAAGGAGAGGAAGGTCGAGGTAGAGGGTTACTCTTTCAACTGAGCTCTCTTGGCATGCCCATATAATTATAATCCATCTTCAAACTACTGAATGGTAATTGTTGGATTTGCGGTTGAGCAAGCTTACGGGTGGTAACCGGTGCGTTCATGTCCAACTTGACAGAGTTGGGGGGAAGTCGTTCAAGTGTGTTCCCAATAATTGGCCCATCCCCTCTTGACCCGGCAGTCTACATTTTCGTTCGAATATCACTCCAAAACTCTGAAGGTGTTTTTATAGACAATCTGCAAATGTGCTCCTAATTCCGAACAACTTTGATATAGAGAAATCACACACAAATATGTACGGTTGTCTATTAATTGGGAGATCTCGAGAGGCATTGTCACTAGAATTTATGAAGAGTGATATTGATCTCACCAGTCCATTTAAACTCATTTACAACACATAGTCGGAAGGCTGCATATACCTCGTGAGTCGATCGGATGAGGGCCTCCGAGTGATGATCCATGATTAGGGAATCGGCAAAAGTGTGGGATATAAGGCCTTATTAACCCTTATCCAGTTCCAAAATGCAGCTATATCGTAAGTATAAAGCAAGAGTAATTTAAAGGTGTGTACAGCTCTGCGGTTGGATGCAGGAATGTTAACGCCAATACTCCATTTTGCTTTTTCTTCCCTTTCTTAAAGTTTTTTGTCTCCCAAAAGTATTAAAATATACGATTCGGGGTAGAAGAGACTCTTTCCGCCAATTTTAGACGGGATTGTAGCCCTAGAGCACCTACATATCGGACACTACACCTTCACACACTCCTTAAGATTAAAACTAAACGTACAACGGGTCATCAGTCATATTCAAATCTAAAAAAGTATTAAACTACACAAAAAGATATCCAAAAACTCGTCACAACTCATCGTCATCGGTCCCTCCTGATGATTCGTCCATTGCCGGGGGTTCCACGACTGGACTCTCTTCCTTCTTTGTCCTTGTCGGCTGCTTCCTCGCCGGCGCCCCTGCCTTCCCTCTACCTCTACCTCTTCCCCTGCCTCGCCCTCTTCCACCTCTCCCTCTCACTGTGGGCTCCTCCTCCTCCTCTTCCTCCACAGCATCCCCTACCTGTGTCTGGGATTCCTCCGGCGTCTTCATCAGCGTAAACGCTTCAAACGGCTTTCTCGGCGGCGGCAGATCATCGTCATCAATATCACTCCGATCATGATCAGACGGCACGTTGGGGCGTATATAACCCTCTTCAGAATCTTCCGTATCCTCTGTTTCATCACCTGGCGGTGGTGCAATGGACTTCCCTTTGTCGACCTTCATTTTTACGAAACCATCAGATTCTGACTCACTGGGTGGGGCGACGGGTTTGCGTTTTCTGCTCGCTATCGTGGCCTTTGGTTTGGCACGGGATGCGCGGGTGGGGGCAGGAGCTGGCGGCGGCGATGGGCTAGGTTCTGGCTCGGGCTTGACTTCTACAGATCCGTGCGGTCCAGCAGGACCTGGGCCTGTGGGGGATCCGGTGGCCTCCTCTAGAGCACGGGATAGTTCGCGAATCTTACTCTTCTTGGAATTGAGGAGCACGGCGAACTTGGAGAGGAGCATCTCCTCGTGTTCTTTTTTGAGGTCTACGAGGGTGCTCAGCTGCTTGGTAAGTTTTTCAATCACTTCTTGCTGGTGCTTTAGCTGTGATTGGAGGTCTTTGAGCTCGGACTGTAATGTCTTGTTAGTATATTTCCGTGGTGTGCGGGATGAGGGAGATACTTACAGAGCTATCTGAAACGGCACCACAGCTATCGATGGCCCATTCGAAAATAGGAATGTCTTCTTCTACCTCTGGGAGCTTGATGGCGGCGATACGCTGCTTGATTCCACCAATATCTTGGCGGATCGTCAGCTGTTTCGGCGGAAATTAGCATATCAAGCTACTAATATCCGAACCGATAAAAAAAAACGCATACAGTTATAGAATTTTTATCCACTGAAGCTGCCATTTCAACCCCCCTGGGGACCAGCTGTGGCTCCGTGATTGGAATCTTCAGCAATACCGAAAAGATCCTCTCCATCTCTGCGACACTCCCGGTGTAGGACTTGGCTCGGAGCTCATCTAGTTTACTCTGTTTCACTACTCCCGAACCACCCAGTCAGTCACTGATCATTTCTTTCAGGCGGCAAAGCGAGACAAACATTTCAATCCAAAAGCCGACTCCCCGTCAGTCGCGTGCAGCTGTAGATTTAGCGGCGAGGAGGGATTCGTGGGCGTGGTGTGGAGGAGTATGTATTGGTTTTCATCTGGCGTGTCGTTTCGTAAGACACGTAAAAGTGTCCCCTTTGCTTGAGTCGCCGCCATCTCTTAATTGCGCGTTGTAATTGTTCGAGGAAGAGGAGACGCGACGACGACGGCGGGGGTGGAATGCGTCGCGCGCGTTGGAGGTCAGAGTCATAGTAGCACGTGATGTTACACTAATTACGCGTTTCGAGTGAGAGATTGTGCAGCGTTAATTAGCACACGATATTACATGTAGGTATCGTCATCGTCATAGTCGTCAATCATCATGTATGCACGATGGCACTTTCTTGCTTTCTTGGTGCCAGATGGTGTTCCTGCAGAGGGCTTGCTGCGGAGTTAAGCTTAAGCTTATCTCGCTCTGCGTGCGCTTTTGCGGGCCAAGGCGGTACATTTACTCCTTAGTTACATGTCCCGTCTGCAAGGCGTCACGGATTCTCCGCTTAGTCAAGCAATTGAGGATGTCGTGTTTCACTGCATACAGCATACAGCATACAGGAGAGAAAAAAAATCATGTATCGCGCGGACTACCGCCCCTAGGATTCGGGGTCTTCGGGAATGTTTCAGGGAAAGCTCGGAACGTCTAGGAATCCCGAGTATTAGGATGGGCCTGCGAAAAACAGCGTATGCCATGCCTTACCGCCGAAACTCCCTCCGGTCATGCGGGTAGGTTCTCAAGCCTGGGGTAAGGTACTTTAGGTTCTCTAGACCTGGGGTGAAGCTTGCGCACAAGGGAGTGGGGAATCGGGGTAGTTGGGGGCTACTTGCGAGCACTGCGGGGTAACTATCGGACAAGTGGTATGTCGAGTACGGATACCAGTAGATACGCACGATACAGTGGGCAAAAGCAGTAAGATGAAGTGCTCCTTAAATGTCGCAACATAGAGTAGCTGGAGCTCATATAGCTCGTCAGGATAAGGTTTTTAATTAACTGTCCATCTCAGGCTAAAACTGGCAATCATTGATCTCTGATGCGCGATATTGCGCAATCACGTGAAGAGGGAATTATCTAGGGTTAGGGTGAGCGTGTCAGATTACCGTAGTCCGCATATGGCGGTAATCGTCACTGGTGCGTCAGAGCGACCAACGTAACCCCATCATTTCATTTTCAAGGCCCGAGGGAAGGAAGGGCAGAAGGACGGGGCAGGGCAGCGCAGGGGAGCGAAGGGAAGTTTGATTACAATCTGCGATAGATGCCTATCTGTGTGTGTGTGTATATGTGGGTGGGTATGTGTCGTGTGCTTGAGTGAGTGAGTGAGTGAGTGTGTGTTCAACTGCAGTCCGGGACACAAGGGAACAGGAAATGGAGAAAGACAAGGCAAGCAGGCTGCGAGGGAACGTTACAGGCTACCTATCTTTGTATCGATCGAGAAACAAGAAACACGGCCTGTGAAAGGGATGCTGTTCTGAAGAGCCAGACAGACCAGCCACAGGGCCCGGACAGAGTCAGTCCCATTGGAGAATTACCGTCATCTTAAAGGCCATCTTCTTCTTGACCTTCGACTTCTTCTCATCTCCACAAACACACGCACACACATCACATAAACATCCCCCTCCTCGTGTTTGCTCTCTATTCTCCTATTCGTCTATCTACAGTCTAATAGCTTGCATTTGTGATTGTGGCTTGCTCACTCGATGATTTCAACTACATGAGCTAATCTACATACACTACTTACTCCACCACCACCACCACCACCACCACTCTACAACTGCTGCAGCAGCCATCACATCACATTCCTCCCCCCACCCACCAGATTTCTCCGCATTATTCAACAACCTCAACCTCTCAACACTTCCCCCACATTCACACCACACCGCATCATTCACACACCCTTACAAAAGGTACACAGGCTTGGAGAGAACAAGAGAGACAACACACCTACGCATACTCTCTAATACATGGACACTCAAGATGCTCCCTCTTTGCCCTCGCCACAGAATACAGAAGGAGAGGTTGAGAGATCCTCTACCGGACCTTCTCCTCAAAAAATGCCAAACTCAACGTGCTCCTCCCCAGGTCCCCTAGAATCTGTAGACGAGCTCTACGCCAGCTCAACCTCCTCTGCCTCGCCCGCTTCACCCAAGCCCGCCTCCCCAGTCTCTCAGCGCTCCATCTTCCGCCCGCCCGCCGAGTCGCCGTCGCCCCGTCCCCCACCTCGTGCTTCACCTGCTAGGACAACCGAGGACCCCCGCTCAGTACTATTTGATGATCATGTGGCATCCGCACATGTTCCGGGCAGTCTACACCTTGCGCCAGATAGCACCATCGAGCGCCTCATCGAGCGCCAGGGTGCAATCATGCTAATTCGTCAGCTTGCGTCTGACCTAGCTCACCGAGACCGCGAGCTTGTGTCTGTACGTCGGCGCACAGAGGAGCGCGAGAGGGCGCTCAAGCGTATGCTAGTGGAGGTGGAGGTCTCGAATGCTAATATTGAACGTCGGCTTGCCACGGCGACGCTAAGCAGGGAGGACGCTAGCTACACCGAGAATATTGACGAGATGATGCAGCAGGCAATGAGTGAGGAGGACACATTCAGTGTTGTAGACGACTCATTTAGTGAGCGCATAGACTGGGATGACGGTGCCGGGGATGACCTGGTCACGCCAAAAGCAACGATACGGGCACGTTCGGGGGTACGGGACAGTGACACCTTCTCGATCACATCGGCCGGGTCTATGAGTCGGCGGAACTCTACGCTGAGAGGCTGGAAGGACTACTTTTGGGGGCCCAAAGGAGCACAGGAAGAGTACAACAGAGGCCGACCAGCGTCACTGCTGGCTAAGCGGAGAGGCATCACGAATGAGACCTTTTCGCCACCGCCAGGCCTGGATCGAAACGATCCGGATAGTAGGGCGTCGAGTAGGGCGCCGTCGATATATAGCCCGACGTCACCGGGGAAGCAGGGGCGGGCAGCTAGTTTCCAGATTTCTTCTACGATACGGGGATCTGCGCCGCCGCCGTCGTCGCTGTATACTTACCCTCATTTCGCTTCCGATCAGTCACACCCTACACCGGCGCATTTCCAGGCTGCCTCATTGTCCCATAAAGACGGGGGTGTTGGTGATCCTGCAGATAATCTGGCAAGAAGGCGGACATCTAGCACAGTCGCCGCCTGGGCCCTGCGCCTCGTAGCCCACGCCCCGCCGACTGACCAAGAGAATCAGCAATACAATCCCAAGAGCCCACAACAACGTAGTGTCAGCGGCCCCGCCGAACCCTCAGACCGTCGTCTTAGCGCTAGCTCGATTAACCGTGAAGACCTGCAGCGCATCATGGCTAAAAACACCGCTAGGGTTCAACCCACTAGTCCCCGCCGGCGCGCCCTCTCTTCGGCATCTAACGGTGGCGCGCCACCAGCTAAGTTCTTTCAAGGGACAGGAGATGCTAGCGCTAGTGGAGCGGCGGTGGGCCCAGTGGAGATGGATACCATTGTACCGCATGCGGTGCAGCCGCCGACGCTATTACAGTGCTGGAATGAGTACTATCCTACAGACTATCTGACGGATAGGTTTGGTTTTATTTATAATAACAATCAGAGGAATAGGACTGAGGGTCCAGCGAAGTCCAAGGGGCCAAAGGGTGAGGAGGAGGCAGAGGGCAGCAGTTTTAGCAGTGCTGACTTGGAGTTTCCGGCCACTGTCACCACTTCCGCTGCCTCTGCCAATCACACGCCTAATGAGGAGGGTGTTGGCAAAGAAAATGATGTTGTGGACCCAAAGACACCAACAAAGTGGCAAGAGCTACTCACTCGGCCTCCATCACCAAGTGTGGGTGCATCCAACGTCTCTCCCAAAGCGTCAATCAATGAACCACCTGCAAGTCGCAGAGGCAGTCTCGCAAAGCCTAAGCCGCAAGCTATGTCAATGCTTGACAAGCTCAGCACGCCCACACCGCCCACATTCTCTTCGGCGCCCCTTGCCCTACGCTCCCCACTTCACTCAGACCCCACTAACGGCACCGTCCGCCTACTCCTCGGCCAGCTCAGCGACCTTCACGACACTCTCCAGCGCGACCGTTCTACGAAGTGGAACGAATTCTTCCGCCATATCCGACGCGACCGTGAAGAAGCCCCAGAAGGCAGCGGTGTGGGTGACGGTGAGCTCATCGGCATTTCCACTCTCGGTCGTGGCGGAAAGGCCCGCTGGAAGGAGTTCAAGTCACTCGTACTGGGTGGTATTCCAGTTGCATACAGGTGGAAAGTGTGGGCGGAGTGTAGTCGCGCTACTGCCTTGAGAGTGCCTGGCTACTATGAGGATCTACTAGTGAATGGAGCCGATGACCCGGGAGTACTGGGACAGATCGAGATGGATATCAATAGGACTCTCACGGACAATATCTTCTACAGGAAGGGCCCCGGAGTCGGTAAGCTCAAACAAGTACTTGTAGCGTATAGTCGCAGGAATCCTGCAGTGGGGTACTGCCAGGGTATGAACATGATTGTAGCGAGCTTGCTGCTCATCATGCCGAGTGAAGAGGACGCATTTTGGGTACTGTGTAGTATTGTGGAGAAGATACTCCCAAAGACGTATTTTGAGACTAGTTTGCTTGCGTCGAGGGCAGATCAGCAGGTAGGGTACCCCCATTGTCTTGTGTGCTTGTAATCACAGCATCTCACTCGTTTTTATGACGCCCACTAACCCCACTACAGGTGCTCAAACAGTATGTCCGCGAAATCCTCCCCACACTCGACGCTCACTTGTCCAAGCTTTCGGTTGAGCTTGAGGCCCTCACCTTCCAATGGTTCTTATCAATCTTTACCGATTGTCTCGCCGCAGAGGCGCTCTTCCGTGTCTGGGACGTCGTTCTGTGTCTCGTCGGCTCCCCATTCCTGTTCCAAGTATCTCTAGCGCTGCTCAAGTTAAACGAGAAAGCACTGCTAGACTGCAATTCGGCTGCGGGGGTTTATAGTTATCTTAACGGCGAGATGACGCATCAGGGTATTAGCATTGATGGGCTCATCAGAGAGAGCGATGCCATGAGACATGTGGTTAAGAAACTAGATGTAGAGAGACGTAGAGAGAAGGCCGTCGAGAGGGAGCTGGCAGATATGGCAGGGAGTGAG